TAAATAACTAACTATAAATGATCTGGGCACAACGGTGTTCTCTCCCTCTTTCCTTCTCCCTCCTAAAGGGGCTGCTCGCTGGCACCAGCGTCTCCCCCACCCCTCTGGATACTCGTCCCTCACTGTGCAGCCCCCAAGGTGGGCACAGCTCCCGGGCAAGGACAACAATCAGAGTAAGTACAGGCTGAACTGAGTCAGGTCTGATTTCAACAGGCTTTCTCTTTTGTCTCACTGAACAACAAAAACCACACCTTACATAACTACCTGTAGCTCAGAGATCTGTTGTGTCCATCCATGTAGAACTCTACTTTTCCTGTGGTTCCTTTACACTAAGCTCCCTGCTGGTGACATCAGGAGAGCAGCTGCCGGGGGACCAGCGGGGCTCACAGGAGGAGGGGGTCTGGAAAGCAACAGCAGGGAACCTTCTAGTGTAGGAGTGGGAAACCTTTTTTCTGCCAACGGCCATTTGGATATTTATAACATCATCTGAAGGCCATACAAAATTATCAACTTAAAATTTTGCTATGAAAAAAGCTCCTAGATTTATTGAATTTCAAGTCCCACCTGTGGCTGCCTTGGCAGGGCCAGACCAAATGATTTCACTGGATGTTCCCCATACCTGATGTAGGGGATTAGAAATGCTCTACATCAATCAGGTTACACAGGTGTAGACTTCTGCCATAACTCAGAATGTCCACTTAGATCTGGGCATTTTTTGTGATTATACTTCAGTATTAAAATACCAAACACAGAGAAACCTCCATGTCCCATCCTAGCCCACAGTAAGCTGCACTTGGCTGAGGAATATTGGACCCAGGGTAGTTCCGAGGTGAACCTGGAGATCGGTCAGCCTGGGGTGGGCATGGGAAAAGCTGCCAACCCAGAGGACAAGGCTGCCTGCCACCAAACAGCCACCAGTGGTGCTGTTTCCCCTCCCACCACCCCTGGATGAGACTAACTCTTAGGGTTGGGGGATAGAGAAGAGGAGCTGGAAGGCAGGGGTGGGGTGGGGGGAGCAAGGTATGAGGTCAAGAGATGGGGGGATGTCAGAGGACTGGGGGCCAGGGTCTGGTCAGAGACCAGGGCAGTTTCCAGGGGAGAAATGAGGCACAGCACATGCTGTCCCACCCCCCAGGCAGGCTGTCTCACAGGAGTATTATTCTGTGTTCTGCAGAAGCCTGCAGGTACAGCAGGGCCATTGTGTGTCTATGGCAGGAGAATCAGCAGTGGTGAGATGTTTTCTAAGACAGATGACAAGTCTGTTTCAACTCAGAAGTCATGAAATGCTCCACAGCAAAGACCTGCTCTCATGAAACTGCTGTTCACTTTCTTCCCATGTGCACAACACAAAACACCTGCACAGCCAGTGCCACCTCACGTCTGCTCACACCAAGGGCTCCCTTGAGCAGGGCACGTGTGTGGCTGCCATGGGACATGGGGGCCTCAGTCCTGGGCCTTGAGAACAGAAGCCGAAACCTGAGTACAGGAGTTAATACGCTCAGAGTGTGAGAGGCGAGCTCTGAGGTGGCTACCTGTAAACCTGTTCTCATCTGCCGAGGGCACCTGCACCCCTGCCAGAGAGGCTATGGGCAGAGCCGGGGAGGAGACCGCCACCTGCAGAGGCCACAACTCCATCACAGCCACACACCCAGGGCAGGACGGACATTCGCCCATCATGAGGGGAGGCGGCCAGCGCTGGACAAGCTGCCCTCTCCCTAATGCCAGGCAGTGGGACACATGGCCGGCACAGATTGATGGCAGCAGCCACATATAATGAGAATGACCATATATTACCCTCTGTGCATGTTCAAGAAAATTCTCAATTAACAAATGGATTTTTAAAAACTTACTAGTCTGTAAGAAACTGTTTTGGCCAGAACGTTATTCAAGGTAATTAATTCATCAGTCACAAGCTTTCCTTTTCACTTTTCTCTCCTCATTTCCACTGTTCAGGTTTTGTCCAAGCATTCTCCCAATGCTACCAACAATCACCTCACCCCAAAATCCATAGGAGGTCCCTGAGATGTGAGATGTGGTTTTGGCAATCTATGCAAAGTTAGCAGAATGGGGTGTATCTTACCTCACCGAAAGCACCCCTTCCAATCACTTTAATTATTTCAAAGTCTTCTCGATGAAGCTGCATTTCCTTCACCAGCTGCGTAAAAGGTTTAGCTGTAAATTTAAAAAGGCAAAATTAACAATTTACTCTAGTAAGTTATATTATATGAAAATTTAATTGATTGGGGGTATTCCAGTAAGTTATACTTTTTATAGAAAAAATGTTTACTTTTTAAATAAATATTTTTTAAAACATTTAAGACCTGTAAAGTGAGCATTTATGCTAAATTAATGTGGGTGGGTCCGGCCAGGCATGGCTCAGCGGTTGAGCGTGGACCTA